GCGTTAAACTGGGCCACGGTGCGTCGGCCTCAGGGCTAGAAATATCACCAGCGGTACACACGAAGCGAGAGTGCGCGCGATTAACCCTCGTGTGACCGAAATGCGCTCGGTACACGAGCATGATTTTATTCCGTCGTAAGTTATCGAGAAAACACGAATAATTCGAATTGTATATTTGATCGAGTCTTCGACTAATTATAACGCATACGGAAATTTGCGTATTATTTCTCAATATCTTTTAAAGCAATTTTTTTCTGTTTAATTTTGTGTTATACAATTCCTCTAAAATACAATTATTTAATATTAAATGGGAATATACTGGCAGATAAGAGCCAAGGCGCGGGTATTGATGCGCGAACTTATTATTGTTAATTTTTTTTAACAGATGTGCATTAAAAATATACATTTTAAACCGTTTTTTGGTCCATCTTTAGCATGGATATAAATATATAAAAATTACATTGAAATTTAAAAAATTGACATACACAATATTTGTTGTATATTACAGTCAAATTTCAAATTAAAATTAATAATCAGAAAGGAAGGTTCATTAAAACCCGCGTAGAGTCTGTACAAATTAATGGACAACGTTCAAATGTCATCGCCACACGCATATTCGTCGGTGGTTTACAATATAATGAATTCATTAATTTGTACAGACTATACGCGGATTTTAGTGAGCCTTTCTTTCTGTTTATTAATTTTAATTTGAAATTTGACCGTAACAACAAATATTGTGTCTGTCAGATTTTAAAATTCCATTGTAATCTTTATATATTTATATCCATACTGAAGATGGACCGAGAAACGGTCCAAAATGCACATTTATTAATAAAATTTAACAATAATAAGTTTACGCAATATCCGCGTCTCGGCTCTTATCTGCCAGTTTTCAGACTTAATTGTTAGTCTGAGCCTATTCCTGTTATTATATAATTATTTAATATTAGTTTGATTGCAACGATTTACTTAAAAGTTGCATAATTATTTTAATTTTCTATTAATATCTGATTAGAATTCTCAGTCATCTTTTTTGCATTTTTTTGACATTTTAATTGTTGATATTACTTTTAATATATAAAGGTACTCTCTCTAATGTCTATTTATTTTTTAATATTAATAGTAATTTATAATGTAATTGTTGGAATAATGTTTTAAATATGTAAATATTGTATTACTTCATAAAAATAAGCATGCATTTATATATTTATTGTTTTTTAAAATAAAGACTAAAAATAAAAACCAAATATATACAAAAAAAAGAATATATCGTTTCAGAAGTTTATTCACGTCTGTAGTGTGCCGCTTAAAAAATTATAATGATATGTGTATAAATCAAATGCATATGACTTTAAAATCCATTAAAGAAACAGACACTTGTACCTGAAACTTACATTTGTATAGAGAACGAGATATTGCTTATTAGTAATGCAAAAAGTATTAGAGTATGACGTTAATAATATGGAATATATGAGAATTTTTTTTGTGAAAGATGCAGCAACTCGTAGCTTTTTCTTATAATATAATCTAAAAGTTTGCAAAAAAATTGTGTTACAGAAATAAATTTAAAATGTGTTTTATTAAAAACTATAAAACACCACATAGAAAAAAAATCATATATGTGGGTATATGTATTATTTTTTAAATAATTTTTTTAGTTTGTTAAAATTATAATAGGAAAATAAATTATATAAATAAAATAAAAATTATATTACCAAAAATAAAATATTATCTTATATACATATATAATATAATAAAATATTTAATTTCTT